AAATTCCATAACATTCCGTCATAATTTTAAATTCAAAAAAGTTGCATTAGAGATAGTCTTTCTCTTGTCTTCACCTGCTTTTATTTTATTGATTATGGATAAACCTCCTCTAGCTACGAGCATATCCTTTCAAGATATTCACCTATAATATCCTCAAAGAATCTCTCGAACTGTTCACTTGTCTGGCTTTCCTTTCCTTTTCAACTCACTATACAAAAACAAAAGAAAATAGAATTAATTTTTAATCGAAAAACCAGACAATAAACAATTGTAATTTGCCTTTTTTAAGAAGTCAAAAAGTTATTTATAAAAATCTTATATCTAAACAATTTTTATGTTAAGAAAGGAAATTGTATTTTAAATAAAAGTTGCATGTCAATCATGACTCAATTAAAAAGAAATTGAAAAATATAGTGTGAGAAAATTATATAAAATTAAAAGTAAATAAATTATATTAAATTAAATGAATAGAGTAAAATAAAATAAAAGGTCATAGGATAAAACAACTTAGAAAAAATAAAATAAAAAAGAATAAAATAAAAGAAACTTAAACTAAATTAAATGAAAAGAAATGAAATCAATAAAAAACAATTAAAAAATGTGTATTAAAATAAATAAAGTTAAATTAAGTAAAGTCAAGTTAATTATATTAAATTAATTGAAATAAAATAAAATACCAAATGAAAACAATATGAAATTAAATTTAATGAAAGCAAATAATTTTTTTTAATAATATTATCTGTGAAAATCAATAAAATTAAATAAAATAAAAATTTAAAAATTATTATTTAATTAAAATAAAAAAATTAAATGGACAAAAATCAAATAAAAATGGAAAAAAATAAAAAAAAGTTAAATATAAAAAACGTAATCATTTAAAATTAAATAACAGATAATTTAAATTAAATTAACAAAAATAAAGTGAAAAGAAATGAAATAAAATAAAATAAAATAAAATAAAATAAAATAAAATAAAATAAAATGAATTAAAACACAATAAAATAAAACCAATTAAAAAGGAAGATAAAATAGAATAACATTTAATCAAATAATTAGTTTAAATAATTTAATTTAATTAAATAACAAGCTTAATTAATTCAATAAAATAAACTAAAATAAAATGAAATTAAAATAAATTAACTTAAATGAAAACAAATCAAATAAAATAAAGTAAAAAAGTAAAGAGTAAAAAATAACTGATAAAAAATAAGCCAACAGTTATAACCAATTGCCTTAATTTGAGTAACGGCAAAATTTTTAAATTCTCTAAGAATGATTTCATGATTTCATTTGGTGGTTTTTTTTTTTGCTAATAAAAACTAAACGTTCTATCAACTTTTAAATGTTTTACTGTTTTAAGACACATATGTTTGCACATACATACATACACAAATATATTCATAACCATACCCAACATACTTATGCGCAAACGAAGTATTTTAATAAGATCTTCTGATGAAATATGAGCGTATATCTTAACGAATATCTTTATATGTACGTGTATGTATGTACGAGTATACATATGTAAATGTATGTACTTCGGAAAAAAATTGGCCCGTGGCAAACACATGGATAAGACGGATTTCAGTTAAATTTGTTCAGCGGTTCACTACATTAATTCATTTAATTGCTCAAAAAGATTTTTTAGTATCTCAAGATACAAATCTTTGACATTCAGCATGCTTTTACTCGCAATGCCAGGTAAAAAGTGTTGTGACAACTTTTCGAAAAAAAAGACAAGCACAACACAAACTTTAATGAAAACGTTATAAACTATCCGATCATCAAAAGAAAGATGCGCTTTGTATGCTTAATGTTGTTATTGCTATTGTTATTGTTGTTGTCATCGTCTTTCTTATCTTACCTGCATACCGACGGTTGAGAAGAATAAAAAATATTGTTGTAAAAAAATGACAGTGTGACTTGTTGATGACCACTAGAGACTTTAGATAGAAGTTACCATTTGTTCATGCACATACTTACATACATACATGTGTAGTGCATTACTCAAGCAAAGAAGCCGACACTGAGATCAGCCGAGAGTTTCCGCAAATTTAAGAGGGAAAAATCATAATGAAAAAATAACAACTAAGGCTACAGTTAAAAGGGGTATATTCGCGTTCAGTGAAGTTTTAGCATAAGTATCGGTTTGAAGTGTGAACTCCTACGAATTTCATACATATAGATGATATATAATATCTGTAGCTGCGTAGTAGCTAATTTTTCTTGAAGTAAATCCAATGGAAGTTAAGAAGCTCTCCCTTTTTAGAATATATCAACTTTGCAAAAATTCAGTTTCACTCCTGGAACCAAGCTGACAAGACACGAGTTCCAAAATCGATCAGACTTATAACTCTAATTCAGTTTTCTATCAAAGTCGTCATCCAGTAGGGCCTGTAGGAAATGTAAATACTTCGAAATGTAATTTTGACTTGAATAGCTTCATATTAAAATCTTTTTACCTTTCTCAGCAGTGACCGTTCGAGTTTGCTTGAGTAAATTAGATAAAAAATGCGTACATCCACACATACGTGTTCAAGCCAATTTAAGGAATTAGGGTAATTTGGACGGAAGAGGCTACTGAAAAGTTCAGCCCTCTCTTAAATTACTAAAATCAAAGTCAACAAGTTTCAAATTTTTCCCGTCCTGTGTGAGCGGAGACCTGAACAATGACAGCATCTTATGAGTCATGGTAGTTTTCTGGAGAAAGGTTTTGTAAACTACGCAAACGATTGAAAGATGAAATGAATGAGACATAGTCGTATGGTGACATTGACATATGTATTGTAGTTCAGCGATTCAAGAGGAAACCGCTAGATTCTGTTGAACATATGGATGTTGTATAAGCAGATGAAGAGAAAGGCATCCACTGCGTAGGTAGGATCAGATGGAGAAGAACCTGGCTTTGCTTGGTGGCTCCGGAAATGAACGACTGCTGTTGTGAATTCGGGTGCAATTGCAGTTTTCGTTGCTCATACACTTCAGCTGCTCGAAAATGTTAGAAGAACATCTTGAGCTTCACGTTGCGCAATGTCATTCGGAATTATAAAAAATTGATTTTTTTAATTGCAGTCACGTATTTAAAAGGTGATTTCGTAAGAGGAAGGTTATTAAAAAATCACAAAAATGCAGTGAAATTCATGAAATCTTTATTTGAATCGATAGTACGGTCCATATAATTTAATGTTTTGAGATTATTTTATGCAAATGTTGACTGTGACTGCGTCTCGAATGGTCCATCCGCTTAGTCCAATTTTGGCATACTCTTTCCAACATTTCGGTCGGTATCTCACGAATAAATGCTTCCATGTTGTCCTCCAATGCGTCAATTAAAACAGACTAGTCTGTATAGACATTAGATTCAACATAGCCCCACAAAAAATAGTCTAAAGACGTTAAATCGCACGATCAAGGCCACCAATTGACTGGTCCCGAACGTGATATAAAATGTCCACCGAACTTGCTTCTCAATAAGTCTATTGTTACGCGTGCTGTGTGGCATTTGGCACCGGCTTGTTGAAACCGCATGTCATGCAAGTCAAGCTCTTGCATTTTGGGGAAAAAAGTTAGATATCATTTTACGGTAGCGCTCACCATTCACAGTTACGTTACGATTCGCATCATCTTTGAAGAAGTACGGTCCAATGATGCCACCAGCTCATAAACCGCACCAAACAGTAGCTCTTTCTGGATGAAATGGTAGCTGTGGCAATGCTTCTGGCTGATCTTCACTCCAAAATCGGAAATTCTGCTTATTTACGCACACATTAAGCCAAAAATGAGCTTCGAAGCGCGCGCGGAAAAAGCGCGCGAAGAACTTTCTTAACATAGCACACATATTGATAATAAAATTCAATAAATATCAACAGTGTTCGTTTGTAACACGATTCATGGTTAAATCATAGACCAAACTGAAGATGTTTGGCAGTGACACAAAACACGAAACGTGAGTCAGCTGTTTAAGCCAGTGTTGCCAAAAATTTAAAAGCTAAAAAAATCACCTTTTAGCTCTAATCCCTTAAAACCATTTAGTGCAGCAAAAATATACAAAAGGATTTCTAAATAAACATACGCACACATAAATATGTATGCATATATGTCTATACCTTTGACATTTTGATGATGTTACCTATGTAAATTGCTGTTGTTAATCACAATTGCTAAGTGAAGATCGAATATTTTGCACATTTCCACATACCTATGTACACAACACAAGCACATACATACATGTATACATACATACATACACCGCTTCAGTACGGTCGTTGTCGCAGTCATAATAAATACCGTCACATTTCTTTGTGTGTTATGAAAATATGTTTGTTTTTATTTACGTATGTATTATATATGTATGTATGTATAATTGTACGAGCGGCACCAAGAAAAAGGAAGACATTTTTCATCCATTGCTGCCCATTGTTACCCTTGAGTGAATAGGCCACACTGTTGGTGGGAAAAGACTTCAACACTTCGTCAAATATTACATAATTACAACTAATGAGCGCATATATGTATATACATATATACATGTATATACATACATACCGACATACTCAACACATACAACACCTTTGGTGTTCTTCGCTTTAGTTGGACGCTTGGACAACAAAACAACCCGCTAAGAGAATAAATTGCCAGCAATCACTTATAGATTTTCTCTCATTGTGAGGCGTTGGCATCAATCCGAATTTATTTTTTTATTTTTTACCCACCTGCACATAGACTGCTATCTTAAGACAGCTATTTGTTATTATGTTATTATGTTTTTATCAAGGCGTAAAAATATTTAAACAGAAATTTCAGCGACTTTGTGCACGTACATACATATATAGTGTGTGTATACATAGACACAAATCTATTATTTTCACTCATCAAACAAGACAAATATTTCCATAAAAATTAGACGCTGAGTGCTCATTATCTAATTAATATCTATAATATTTGGATTTAAAAAAAAAAAAAAAATTCTGAAAATTATTTTCTTAAATTTCTATTTGTAGAATTTTAGAGCTTCGCAAGGAAAAATCGCGTGACGCGGCGAGATCTCGTCGGGGCAAAGAGAATTATGAGTTCTATGAATTGGCGAAAATGCTTCCTCTACCTGCGGCTATAACAAGCCAGTTGGATAAGGCTTCCATAATAAGACTGACAATAAGTTATCTAAAATTAAGAGATTTCTCGGGACAAGGAGATCCGCCATGGACGCGAGAGCAATCGAGTAGCAGTAAATTGAAAAGTAAGTCATCTTTTGTTGTCAGCAAATATTATATAATAGTTTATCTATGTACACACTCATTTATGTACGTGTATATGTAATTAGATTAATTACCAACTATGATTTTCAGGTGCAGCGATTCGACGTAGCCCCGCCGTAGATTTATTCGAACAACATCAAGGCACTCATATATTGCAGGTCAGTATTTTGAGAAAGAATAAAGGGTGTATTTTTAAGCATGCGGTTTTCATTTATTACCGAAATAATGGTCGGGTGGCGCAAGGCATTGCATATCGCCCAGCAGAGACTGCAAATCGAGCAATCATAGATCGGTTTCATACCACCTTTACTCTGGTGGTTAGTGCGCATCCTCAGGTCAAAGAAGACTCGAGCACGAAAGGATTGACGCCTTGAAAAAAAAGTACTCGGCACTGCAAAAAGTGGTCGAAAATTAGGCATCTCGTTGGTCGCTTGCCCAAAATCATTTTTAAAATAAAATGGCAAACCCTTACCTTAATAAAAAAGCTAAATTCTTGGCCATAACATTAAATTATTTACGTTTTATTTCTGCTTGAAAATCAAATGAAAAGTAATACACTTATGCCATGGAATAATACCGTTATCTAAATAATTTTTAAACGCAGTTTCTTGAATGAACTTTAGTCTCTATCTCCGTGGACTCTCTTTTAAATATTTTAGCTATTGACAACGACTGCTTCGATGATAATTCGATGATAATTTCAATTTTGGGAACAGAAAAAATTCGGACCGAGCCATATCAAATGAATACGATGCTTGTTGTTGACTTGGTATTTTTCAATACATTAAAAATCTTGCTTAACTATGGAATCGTTGAACCGTCCAAGCACGTCTTTTACGCGACTAAGGTCATGAAAACGGAAATTGATTCGGTAGACACGGAAAAGTCAACGGCTATCTCTTCCAAATCTAAATGGGGATCTCCGGTCACCATTTCCCCCACATAAGCGACGTTAACTTCAGTCATAGACCTTGACGGCCGACCAGAGTGAGGCAAATTTTCCACTTCATACGTACATACAAACATGGGTTCGTTATAGCCAATCTTTCCGAGAGCTTCTGCAACATTTTGTGCGCAAAATTCCGTTTGCAATGTTCGATATTTTTATTCAGCCAACTGTATAAATATAATATATTTAGATAACGCTCTTAGAAATGTGTTCCTATAAAATTGCGCTCACCTAAGCCGTCAGGCGTAGATTCGAACAAGCGAAAGAATCGGTAGTTTGAAACTCGATTTCAGTCGTCTAAGCACACGCATCCTGACTTACTCTTTAGCTGTTACCACGCTAATATTGTGTTTTATATTACCGTTATGTATGTACGTGTTCTTTTTTTACTTTCCAGTCTCTTGATGGTTTTGCATTAGCTGTCGCTGCAGACGGACGTTTTTTGTATATATCCGAAACGGTGTCTATTTACTTGGGTCTCTCACAAGTGGAAATGACAGGAAGCAGTATATTCGACTATGTTCATCAGAGCGATCACGCGGAAATTGCCGATCAACTAGGGTTAAGCTTAACCAATGGTGGCATTGCAGGCGGTGGCAATGGTAACGGCACAACTGGTCTGGCGTCACCTACTTCAGGTGCTTCGGACGATGGTGTTGGTACGCATGGCACGAATAACCCGGATGGTAAGTGTGATAAAAGACATGATGCATGGGTACATGGTATACTTCATAGGGGTTGTTGTGCGTGGAGTTTTTCTATTTCACGTTCTTCAATAATCATATGAGTGAGCTCTTTTTCTTTTTGTAAGAAGTACTCACACTTAAGACTTAAAATAATATTATATTTATACATATATGTACATAAATTTTGCCATAAATTGCAGTATCTGCACAAATGACTGTGTCCTCCACCAGTGGATACAAAGGGTACGAACGATCGTTTTGCATTCGTATGAAATCGACACTAACAAAACGAGGCTGCCATTTCAAATCTTCCGGCTATCGGGTATGTACATTGTGCTACAATAAAAGCTGTATTTATATACAGCTACATATGTATGTACATATATATTCCTTTATATATAAGTTCGTGATAAAAATGAAACAATCGTATGACAGTGTCTGTTCGTAGAGTTTACTTCCCCTGTAGTTTTAGACCTTTATGCGTTCTTTTGTAGTTTCATGGTTTAAATTTTAATATTAATTTTTTTCTGTTTTAATTTCGAGTTCTACTCACTAAAGTGTTAGTAATTAGGCAAAATTACAAGTTTTAAATCGAAGTTTATTTCACCATACCGTTCCCCACTTATCTGCAGGCAAACGATCAATCGGTCAATGGTGGTAAAAATAATGGTAAACCAACGGGCACCAATTATTCGGTACGTATCTTTCAATTGAAATCAAGAGCAACAACAAAGCTCTCTAGATAGATACACTATCTATATATAAATGTAACAGAAAACCGTTGTAGTGCATGCCGCTTTGGGTTTATTTTGAAAAAAAAAAAAATAGAAAAAGCAATTTTACTAATTTCTTAAAAAAAAAAAACGCAAATTCCAATTAATCAAGCTCAGTGCCAATACCTTGCAGTATTGTTAGCTCAAATATGTATACATAAATCGAGACTTAGGTGCCTTATGGAGCACACCTGGTTGAAATTAGCTACATTTTTATTAGCCCTCGATATAGCATCGTATTAGCTGCGCTGGGATTATGAGGATTTGTCTGAGTCCCGAATCGATAAGTCAACATTCTTTCTACTCTTTGACTAATTTACGAAAGTGAAACCTTATTTAATTGTTTAGTAAATCGTTTTGCAAAATATCTGATTTGATTGATCAGATTTGTATGTAGATATTCTCCTAATAAATTTCAGTTATCTAGACTATGCACCTATTTACATATATAATAAGTAACTTAATAAAAAAAAAACAATATGTACTAGATAAAAGAAATAAATTACATGAAATGAAATAAAATAAAATAACTTAAAAAAATTAAATTAAAATAAATGGCTTAAAATCACATAAAATAAAATAAAATAAAATAAAATAAAATAAAATAAAATAAAATAAAATAAAATAAAATAAAATAAAATAAAATAAAATAAAATAAAATAAAATTAAATAAAATTAAATAAAATAAAATTAAATTAAATTAAATTAAATTAAATTAAATCAAAATAAATTAAATTAAATTAAATAAAAATTTATATAAAATAAAATCTTATAATATAAAATTATAAAAATAAATTAATTAAAAAAATAAAATTAAATAAAGTAAAACAAAATAAAATAAGATGAAGCAAAGCAAAACAAAAACAATGTAATATTATTTAAAAAATTAAAAAAATACGGTAAAATATATAAAATAACACTAAGTTAAATAAAATAAAATATAGTAAAATAAAATAAAGTAAAATGAAATGAAATTAAATCAAATAAAGGGAAATGAAAAATAAGTTAAAATTTTTCAAATGAAATTAAAGATAATTTGATATAAACAAACTAAAAATATTAAATCGAAAAAGTTGTCTATGTTATTTGGATTATCTTTTATGACATTTCCTTCAACAGTAAGCAAGCATCTTTAACTAAGAACAAAAGACATGCATACATATTTATATATGTACATATGTACACATCTTTCGCATTTAACCAATTTCATCTAATTCCATATGTTTAGGTCGTATTGTTGTTGTGCAAGCTCCGGCCTCAGTATACCTTTTCACATACACGAAAATCTCAACCGCCTCTTTTGGGCATGGTCGCACTTGCGATTGCGCTGCCACCGCCTTCGGTACATGAGATACGTTTGGAATGCGATATGTTTGTAACCCGAATCAATTTCGATTTTCGAATAGCACATTGTGAGCCAAGGTAATTGAGCATGCTACATGGATATATTCTTATATACAGCGTACTGATATACATGTTTGTTCTCTCTACAGGGTATCCGACTTGTTAGACTACAGTCCGGAGGACCTTGTCAACAAAAGTATGTACAGCTTATGTCATGCCGAGGATGCCATTCGGTTGCGCAAGAGCCATATGGATCGTAAGTCTCGTTTTTTGCTTTGGATTTTAAATGCATAACTTTACATATATATATATATATATATATATATGTACATACATGTATAACGAGACACTAATTTACACCAATTTCAATTCCAGTGATAGAGAAAGGTCAAGTGCTTACCGGTTATTTCCGGTTGATGAATAAAAGTGGTGGTTATACTTGGTTGCAAACCTGTGCAACGGTAGTTTGCAGCACGAAGAACGCTGATGAACAGAATATTATATGCGTCAACTATGTAATCAGGTGAGCATCCCTTATGACACACAAATACAATTCGAGAGAATATAATTTGATTTTACTTTCACAGTAATCGAGAAAACGAAAATCTCATATTGGACTGTTGCCAGCTGGAGCCAAGTGTAGATTGTATTAAACATGAAGAGCTTGGCACTGATAAGAGTTCTGGCTCACCCAGTGGTGATCCCGCCTCTGAAGGGCAAGCGGGCATTGGAAGTGACACAAAAACATCCTCAACTAAGACTGATGGGGATGGGCATCATCAGCGTAGCAGAGGACGAGGCTCCAGTTCGTCGGTGAACACAAATGCAAACACTTTGACTTTAGTGAAAGATAGTCCGAATTCGGTAAGTGTTGAAATGGATAATGGCGCCAGCTCGTTGCCAACAACTGTGGCTACACCAGCCACAACACCTACTAATACAACAAAGCGCAAGCGCAAACCCAAAGCTTCTCTGCAAAGCGAAGAGAACTCGGATGTTGGACCAGTCAACAACCCCAACACGGATGCACAGCCACAATCGAAGATAGCAGCAATCGAACGAGAGGTGCCACGCAGCCGTCTACCATCGACCATTGAACAACTTCCACAGCAACAGCAGCAAGCTCAGCTCACACAACAGCAGATACAACAACAACCGCAGCAAGCACAAACGCAACAACAGCATACCGAGGCTTCAGTGAAAGATTTAGAAAATGCTATGACCAAACACTTGCCCTCCCCCGGCGTGAACAACAGCGACGTTGCACCAGTTGCCACCGACTTTAGCACCGATGCACTTTTAAAACAACAACAGCAACAAAATGAAAAAAGTAGCACCATACAGTGGATAGGAACGCCACACTATCAACAACCCGCACCGATGCCAGCGACAGCGCTGCTGAGGCAACTTTACGCCAATCGAGAGAGTGTTATAAGAGCAACCGCACGTCAAACACCGACCGGTGTGTTTTATGGTGAACAGCAAAATGGTCCACTACCAACACCGCCGGGTAGTGAATCATCATATGATAATCACCAATATCTACAACTTCATCCCGCCCATCCACAAAAATCATCCACAGACGCATTTACGAACTTAGTATCTACATACGGTGGCTACCACAGCTCCATTGATTATCACAATGCCATGACGCCACCCAGCTCGGTGTCTCCGCGTGATACAACCAACAACCTAAACGCCACCAAAGCGACCTCACACAACACTAACGGATATGCCGATTACACCGACTCACTACGTGTTCAATACACAACACCGAATAACGCAAGCGAAAGTGCCGGCACACCCGCACTTCCTCTTAAACCCCAACCATACACAGCAGCAACACCCTCCATGCATCATCCCCACTCAACCGCCGATGCCACAAGCATTACGTATAGCAATCTGGACCAACCGCAATATTTTGCTCCACATTCTAGCTTCCATTTGTATCACAAAGGCACACCGTCGAGTGGCTGGTATTCGACACCGTCATAGGTCAGCGCTCAGGACTGCGACTTACAGCAGCAGTGGGGAACTCAACAGGATCAACAGTTGCAACAAGTTCAGCTACATCCAAAGGAGAGTTGGGATATAGTCGGTGCACTTGGCAAGGTTGCCAGAATGTTCTTTAATGCTCGAAGAGGAAATTAAATTTAAGTGGGCTGGGCAACCATCTGTGGACTTGAATTACAATCGTTTTAAAACACATAACTTATGCACCTACATATGTGTAAGTATGTGTGCACACACATATGTAAAGCTGTAATACATAAATATCAGGCGCGAAATTTAGCGGTTATGAATTGAATCAATTTCACTTCAAAATTTTTCAATCCATATTTCTTTTTCAAATTGCATAACCAATTCACCTGTCCCTAGCGTAAGCATACTCGACATACTGAGAAGCATTCTAAACGTACATACATTCATATGTACTGCTCAACCAATTTAGGTTTGGATGTATGTATGTACATAATGATTGTATAGCTTAAACATAAATTGTTGCAAAAATTAATGAATAATAAAAATATAAAATTTTACTACAAATATTAAATTTACGTATGTATACACATATGAGCGCGCATATGAAATATTGTACTATACATACAAACGAGTATGTATATATGTATGTAGGCTAAAGGATAAGTTTGAAGTATATAATTATGGTATATTTAATCCTAATTAAAGTTGTATATTTTTCGTATTCGTAAAATAGGCTATTAGAATTAAATAAATACACGTGTAAATGCATACATATGCACGTATTTATCTACATATGTACTCATAAGAAGAATGGAACTAATGGAAATACTCAAAATGAAATATGTATAACCAATTACTTAATTATAGGAAATAAATATCCAATTGCTTGTATAAGACTTAGATAGTGTGCCAATAATACAAAAAAAACAAAAACAAAAATATTTTAATATTTAAAGAATTAGAAGTGCATTTTGTATTGTTATTAATTATTTAAGTTATTAGCTATTTACTTAAAGATGTGTGTAAATATAATTAAGCAAAAACAGCCTTGTATATAATAAATGTATGTATGTATGTATGGCACAAATACAACAAACATATTGAAAACATATCAAACGTTTTTATATTTTCTTTTTTTTTTTTGTTTTTTTTAGCAACTTCCTATATTGGATGCAAGCATGCTATTCATTGGAAGTAGAAGAATTAACGAAATTATGCAGACATACATATGTACACATGCACAAATTATAAAACTTAAAAAAAAAAAAAAAAAAAAACAATTCCCACAAAATGTTGCTTTATTCTCCCACCGCTCATTTTTAAGATTTTGCAAAATGATCAAAAAATGTATATGGTTCTATGTAAGTATGCGCACATTTAGGTAAATATACATACATACGAGTACACAAAATCCCATACAAATGCGAAATTTTGATTCATAAGCATACCTGATTTGTTAGTTATATTATATTTGTAAAAATAAATAACAGCTTAAACTTATCTCCGAAATGTATATATATATATATATATATATATATATATATATATGTTATATACGTGTGTATGTATATTTACATATTTCTGCACACGCTTTCACTGAAACTTCGTAGAAAAAGCACAACCACATATGTATGTATATGTATTATACTATAAAGAAATATAAAATAAAACATTAAAACTAAATAATTTAATGAGCTGTTTTAGGCGTATTGTTGAAAATTAAATGTAAGTACGTATATAAGTTTCCTAAAAAATATCCATTTAATTTACCAAATGCATCCAGGTCCTTCAGACCAGGTCTTTCCAAATGATTGAAGGCACTGCATTGAATACTTTCAAGGCTGGAGTGCTGCCATATATGCGGACAACAAGTCCTAGCCAGCGTACCTGCTCTATTTTGATTCGCTGAACGCAATATTGACGCCGTATAACTCCTACAGTACATCGTGGGATCCAAGATGCGAGTGCGAGCATTGTTCAATTGATAACAGGATATATTTCATCTTGCCCTCATTCACTTTGCGATGCTTCAATTGGAGTGCGATAAAACTACATTTGGTTTCTCTTCATGCGATCTAGTTAGTATAGGTCCATACCTTCTAGTGACAGTTTTCACAGCAAAGCTAGTAATATCAGCAAGTATTGGGCCAGCAGCTCAATAAAATCCAATTTATTTTGATAACTGCTTAAACGATAGTATGTTTCTATATCAGGGTAAATTCCTGGTTTCAAATTATAGCTCTGTTCGATGAAAGATTTCAGTAAATATTAGCCAGTAAGGAAAGTGAGAGAGTAACATGTTTTACTCTCCCAAAGAAAGATATTTACTGAGTTTTCATCAAACCGGATTCAGTAAAATTTAGCCATGAGGTTGCTTATTTGGCGGCTACATTTGAATCTGTTCATTTATAGGTTATGTTTTCTGCTCAGTTGCAACAATTTGGAAAGATGATTGATGCATGAAAATGGATTTGGAATTCTTTTCCGTGTAAGACGGCAATATTAACTAAATATTATTTTAAATTTTCTTTCGTTCCATTTAAACAAAATCCAAGCAAAAGCTTTATATTTCCTTCTAAGCGCGGCTAATATTTAATTTTATGCATCATACTTATATTATTGTCATTTTAAATCATTTTTTATTCTGTTGACGAAAATGCAACCATATAATCAAACAAACTAATCAGCTTTTTATCATACTTACTAGTTTTTAATTGTTTTTCCCAGTTTTAGTAACAATTGTCACTGTCCACCAGCTCACCGAACAGGAGTTATGTCACCTTTAACTGCATATCGATGTTGTACTACAACAAACGATAGCTAAAAAATTGTCGACATCTCTATTTCATAAAGCCAACAGCTGATAATCATAAATTTATTTGGTAGACAATGAATTGTTTACATTTGATTTTATAAAGACAAAAATTGAGTGAACAAAATATAAACGCGATTTGGTTGTAAACAATTCAAAACCACAAAGTTTCCATATAAAGTACATTTATCATAACAGGCCGTTCATCTATTATTGACAAATGGACGAAGTTGATAAAATTATCGTCCACTCGCTGAATCAGATTGGTTGCCACATCGATGATCAGTGTACTATGGCTGACTTCACGCCTACTCTACTGGTACGCACAGTATCGCAATGCTTGAAAAAAATTCAACCATTATCGACAAATATACCACAAGAACTACCAGAAGGCCTTGCTATGGCACAGCGATTCTCTATAGCTACTACGATGTCAGCAATTATATCCAACCTTAATTACCGTGGCGACATTGGATATCAGACTTTTTTATACCCCAACGTGGTAGATGTTCGTAAATTATTAATGTTTCTTATAGAAAAAATTCCGCGCGATGAAGTGAAAACGGTAACCCAAGTCGGATCTTTTTCCGACGACTTGGACATTTGGCGTAAAAATGTTAAGGAGACAATTGCACAACAGTTACGCAAACCATGGATTCCGCAATACTGCCGTAACGTGGCTCCTGCACGAAACTTTGGTTTCGGTAGTCAGATAACCCACTTTAAACCACATCACAATCTGATGCTGTATGCTAAAAAGTTACCATTACAAAATGATTACGCTACACAGCATAAAATAATGAACATTTTCCAACAAACGGCGAAGCAGGACTTTGATCTCATAAGCTCAGTACTACATCAAAATTCTTTTGATTTATATTTGAGCGAAGTTATAACAAGCGGAGGGCAATTGAAGATATCTCCCCAAGAAAATTATCTTTACATCGCTGGTGCAGGCGAATCTGGAAGTCCAACCCTAAATGATCTACCAGAGGACATAAACCCTCTTAGCAAACTTACAGCGGAGCTTAACAATCTTAAGGGTGAAAATGCTGAGCTTCTAGCTAAAAGAAAAATATTAATAAACAATATAAACAGCATGAAAGATCAACAAAACTTAGTTCAGAAAGAATTAGAATGTATTCGACCAGAAGTAAAAATACATGAACGTGCTTCCTTGGTTTTGGATAATCCCAAAGAAAATATAGCCAAATTGGAAACCCTCATTCAAACTGTTTTAGAACGCCGTAAAAACTTGGATCAGCAATGGCAAGACTATCGAAAGCCCATGTTGGACAGAATTGAGACTATGAAATGTGAGAAACATCTAAGCAATGCTAAAAATGCAAAAGAATTTAGTGAGATAATCAAACAGCTGGAGCAAGATTTGTACGAAAAGAAAGTACAACACAACCAACTTAGCGCTGAGTTGAGAGCGGTTGGAAATGATCGAGCAGCGCCGCGCAATGAATACATACATAGAATTTTGGAGTTCATTTCCAATATACGAAAGCAACGTAACGATATTTACAAAGTTCTAGATGACACAAGAGATCTACAAAAGCAGTTGAACTCTATTTCCGCACAATTACAACGGCAATTTTGTTATACAGATGACCTACTTTTTCAAACAGCTAAACACGACGCCCATTCCAAATTAGCATATAAACTTCTTGCCACACTACACTCCACTTGCAATGAGCTTGTTGATCTTGTAGCGAAGACCGGAAATGTAACAAATTCTTCACGCGAAATAGAGGTACAAATTGACCGCGAGAAAACGAAAAATGTAACAGAGAGCCTCGAACAAATAACAGCAGACATACGAAACTTCGAGAATTTAATTCACAACATTCAGACCGAAATACGAGGAATTGAAAACGAAATTTCAAAGGCTTAAATCGTAGGATATTTGTAGTTCATAAAAACGGTTACGTAAGCGAAACAGGAAATTTCAGCTCGTTCTCGAAGATTTATAAAATTTTATCCAATCTACTTTGTCGTTTTTTATGTATTTTTAAAGTATTTGTTTATGCATATGTTATAATGTAAATGATTAATTTAAGTTTTCTTGTTTTAAACGTGGTTGTATTTTCGTAAAAAGAAATTCACGTTTTTTCTCAACAAATACATATGTCTATACATATATGCAATGGCAATTGTATATTCTAATTTTGTGTATAATCTAATAAAAAAAAATGAATAACTTCAAGTATAATAATGATTTTGGACTGATTACAAATTATTCTTTCGTCATAATGTCAAATATATTTATTACCTACAATTTTTTATATATCCTAAATATGTAAGCACATACATGATTGCATGTACAACTGAAAAAGAGTAATTAAAATCCTTCCTAAGAAATACGCCATTAATTTAATTAGAGTCCAATTCAAACATTTACGATTAATTATGCAATTCAAATTAATAAGAAATTAGGAAATGATAAAGAGCAAAAAAAAACTTTTTAAAAGTGGCCACAATCCAAATACTTTTTGAAACTTTCATAACACTCTGCTGATGTCCACTGCTCAATAATAACATCAAATTCCTCGTCCAAAGCAGTATTTATAGTTTTAGTGTAATTACTAACAATAGATTTCTTCATAAATCGATAAGACTGCAAGTAAAAATAATAATTATATTACTATTGGTTTCTTCTAGTACAATTATATTTATATGCACCTCTGTTGACGTTGCAGCTAACTTTTTGGCAGTCAGTAATGCATCATCGTTTACTTTACCGGATGCGGTAAGTTTATGTACTAACCCAGACAATGCTGACTCTGTTGAATGTAATTTCTCGCCCAACCAGAATAGTTTCGTTTTCTTTACAAAAAAAAAGAAAGAAAGACGTATAAATGAATGCTGTATTAGTAAATAACTAATATTAATTAGTAAGCACAAAATCTCATTAGCATACTTACATAATTATCACGTATTTTCGTTATATTATTCCAAATGCAGAAGCCTTCCGGCACCTGCCCTATTTTTGCATATGGAGTTTCATATGTGCCCTTGTCACTTCCTATAACAATGTCAAACAACGGCAATTGCATTACACCCAATCCAATATTGTTGCCATTAACACCAGCAATAAGAGGCTTTGGAAACAAGGCCAAAGTTTTCAGGTAATTCCTATACAATATACATTAAACGATATTTTAACTGTTATCAATTTCTAAATTTCAATTTTGCTTACTTAACCGCTGCTGCCAATTGTACAGCGGAGTGTTTACGTTTTTCTAAAGTACCAGTTGTTAAATCGGTGAAATCGATGCCGTAACAGAAATTGGGTGCGTTTGTTGTAATCACCACAGCATTGCATTCAGCATCTTTGCTCAAGTTTTCTAAAATGTCAACCAACTTATTAAGCATCTGTAAAATAAATATATTTTTTTTTATTCATTCATATATATATATATTTACACATATATTTATATTTACAATACCTGAGTTGTAAAAGTATAATTGATTTTTGCCTTCTGCGTATTGAAAGCTATTTGTGCAACCTTTGCAACCTTTTTTACTACAACATCGGACATAGTAACAGCAACAACAGACTCATCTTTTAACTGTTTTATCGAAGCTTTGCTTCCCCCGGTTGGACTCTTGGTTTTGTCCTTCTCTTCAACATTAGCCGGGCTACGAGATCCCTTTCTTGCTCCTGGTGCACCCATGGACTTCTTTGCTTCATTTGTCGCAAGTCCTTCACTTTGGAAGCCGCCTTTTATACGCCGATGTCCCTTCTGATGCGATTTTGATTCAGGTTTAGCAAACTCAAAGGCATTTCCAGTATTTGCGGCACCTTTTACAGCTGTATTATTTCCATTTGAACTTTTCAATAAACTCCTTTGTGTTGTCTTTGTTACAGCATTACTTGTAATTAATTTTACTGTTGTAGTTGGCGTTGTATTTTGTTGCGCATTTTTCGTCAATAAGCTTTTGCTTCCGTTGGTGGCCTTTGTAACTGGAGCATCCAAACTCAAACGCCGTAGTGATGCGTTACTGGAATACGAGCTATTGGAGCGTCTTCTTATGATCATTGCATCCTCAGTGGCTTTTTGTTTGTAAACGTAATCCCAAGTTGAGGATGGTTTTTGCTTATTAGTGCGTTTGTTCTTTAACCCTCCACTACCAGATGCCACTGATGATACTTTTCCAGGAGTCGTGGGGGTTGTTTCCGGCTTTAAAATCTTTAAAACAGAGAAATATTATTTACAAAGTTATAAGGGGTAAATACAACAAATAAATACCCTCTCCGAAATTGTTGCAGCACGACTTCGCATTAAAGGTTTATGTGGTTTGTCGGTACCTTGTTCTGCAATCAGTTTGCTTCTCTCGCTTTCCAGGGAATGCAACATGTTAGCAGCGCCCTCATCACTTACCAATCGGTCAATTTCACTACCTCGCTTTTTCTTAGATCCCGACCCTCCTCCATTTATAACAGGTGTCTGCGAACGACGCTTAACAGGTAGATGAGTTTTTAAAGTGTTTTCCTCTTCATCCTTCTTATTTTTATTTGACTGCGTAGAAGTTGCCGATAGCGAAGTAAATTGCTTAACTTTAGATCCACTGGTACTTAAGCCTGTTTTCAAGTCTGTTGTACGAACTTGCAGTTTATTTTCTGCTTCAATTTGTCTAGAAGAAGAACCATTTGGTGATTTTTTTTCTTTCAAATCAGGCTGCTGATTTTTACTGACTTCTACACGAATCCCTTTCAGTGTAGGCGTCAAAGAAGTTTTTTTAGAAGTTGAAGATGTATTTATTGATTGATTATCTACGCGTATGTTGATTTTGGAGCTATTGCGCGCGAGCTGAGCGTATGATATTTGAGTTTCTGGTGCGTCCGGATCCCATATAACTTTAGGTTTTACAACGCGTGTTCGCTTAAATCCAACAACGGGCTTTAAAAGGGATGCTGTGGTTTTATTTGCTTCATCAGATATATTGGATTTTGCTTCATTAGACGTTTCTAAGTTCAATGAATCAATTTTCACCATTACAGAGTCACTTTGTATCGGTTCAGTTGGGTTACTGGATTGTTCTTTACGTTCAGAGCCATGGCTTTTCGCTTCGGATTCTATTATACGCTTCTTGTGTTTTAACTCACTATTTTTTGGTACATTGGTTAAGTTGGTGGATGCTTTCATATCCGAATCAGTGTCGTCGTCACTCCAATCTGCACCAAGCGATGTTACTAAATCACTGTTATCCTCTACTTGTAAAGGTTTAATTTCTTGCTTACGTTTACGCTGACGATCATTACCACGTGCATTCAAACCGGCTATTTGCTCCATTGCCATTGCACGTATTTCTTCACTTGTTAGATGTGATATAGCACCCCCAGAGGTAGAACCAGAATTTGGTGATGGTTTTTCAATGCTCTCCTGAGCCTCCAATTCTTTTTGTATAGACTCTTGTTCGTCTAGTTCGTCATAGACCACCTCCATAATTTGAAACTGACCCTCACCTTCAATAGTTACTCCTTCAACTAGCTCACTTTCAGCAACTGATGGGGATCGGCCGCATTGTTCTTCATTATCATCGTCTTTTATTTCTTTCAAAACAACATTACTGTGATCATCAATACCTTTCAAAACAGCTATCAAATCTTCATGTTCTAGGGCAGTTGAACCAATGTTTTCCGGTATATTATCTTCATTCACAGGATTACATTTCAGCAAACTTACATCGTCTTCAAAATTAATACCGTCGAGGGATCCAATTTGCTTTGATTTTACCGAAGGTATTTTGTCACTATTAAATTCTTGACTTTCACCTACTCCACTTACATCCTTATTTTGGTATTCCAAATTTTGTGTAGGCTCCACGTGATGTAACTCCGCTATCTCCCGTTCTAACGAAGTCAGCTCATCCATTTTTTCAACACCACTGTACTCTCCCACCAAAAGAAGTTCATTCGAAATAACAGTGGCATTACCACTGTCTAAATCTCCGCATTTATTTTTATTTTCTTGCTCCTCAGCTGGTGAAACACATTCACTCATTGTAAATCTTTGTATTTACTTTTACTTAATGTTCGAAAATCTTAAAAAAAAACTTCTCCAGGAAAACTTGATTTTGTGTACACATTTATTGTGATGGCTATCTTACGGCATGTTTACATCTCAGCAAGCGCCATTTTTTCTTCCTATCTTAACACAAAACGAAAGCACACTTGTTTCTTTGTAGATTACAAACGATTAAATTACGGGAACTTAAACGATGTTTCACAAATATTCTAAAGCATTAACAATTTTTATTTTCTTTTATTTACGTCTGTATAGATATTAAAGATTATTTTAGCACTTGATTTTTTCACTTAATTAAATTCCTCGACATCAGAATTTCTAAAGCTTTATCAAATGTCAGGCTATCCACTGTTACCATATCGCGGACGTATTTCGGATAGTGATGATTGCAGGGTGAAACATATTGTTACGATTTTACTAAATCAACCTCGATTATTTTCCGAATCCTTCGGGTACGATCTCTGGATTGTTAAATAAAACTCGCCAACTTAATTTGCAGTTTCTTTCGTAATAAAGATTTTATCTAATGTCCTTTATTTACTCAGTGATTCACAATTCAATTACAAGACACTTTACTAGCTACAATCACTTGCATCAAGTTTCACAATTTACTCTACTTAAATGTAATTCCCAACGCGTTCACTTTACGTCTTCACTGATGTTAACGCCAACCAGTTTGCTTTGTCACTAACTTGACTTGCAGCTGAGTGTCGCCTTTATATAGCAGTCGGCTGCTTGCAGACGAAAGCGTAGAAGCATCGAATTGTTCGCTATGGAAGGTTCTTGTTTTATCGTTTCTAGAACGTACTAGTTATCGGCTTCTCTCTTTCATCTGACA